CAGGCCTCAGCGTCTCCTGGAGGAGTGGCCCCCTAGGGCGGGGAGTCGCGCCCGGCGAGGCCCGGGGAGCAAACAGCCCGAGAAACGAAAAGGAGAGCAAAAGGGGAGGAGGGGAGCAAGGTGCAACGACAGCCTGGGGGCTGCTTCCCGCCTTTTTATGCCGGTAGCGCCGCGCAGCGCCTTCTGGGAAGACGCCCGACGAGGCGGCGGCCCCGCCCCCTGGGAGCCCCTGGCCCGCATGGCTCCGGCCCCGGCCCCCGGTCCAGGCCTCCCGCTAACTGGGCCCGTGACGCCAGTGGGAAAAAGCCTGTTCCTCGCCCTGCTCTGGAGGCGCGGACGCCCTCGGCCTCGGGGGGTCGACTAGGCCGGACCTCGGCCTCCGAGGCGGCACCCGAGCACTGGACCGGGGTCAGGCTGACTCGGTTGCGGAAGGTGGAGGACCAAGGGCACATGAAGGTGACAGGGAGCAGAGTCCCAGGCCGGCAGTGAACCGGGTGGCCCTGGTCCTGCAAAGACCAAAGCCTTCTGGGTCTTCGTAGCCTGCAGGACACACCGACCCTGAGCCCCCACCCGGGAACCACATTCATGTCTTCCTTCAAGACAGAAAATTCCATAGGGGCTTTTTAGGAGTTTAACCGACAGCTGTTTCATCTCGCTTGACTGACTATGGATTCAATCACAGTGATAGATGAAATGGATCTCCCACCATTGGGTCGTCGGGAAAATGCAGCATGGGAACAGGCGGATTGCATTCAGTAGGCTGTTTTTGCGCAAGTGCAACCGACAGGACAGGTTTTGCCGTGGGTGGGGCTGCGTGCCACGCCAGGCAGCTCACGGTCTGAGCGGAGTGGGCCCAAGGGGACAAGGGACCACGAAGAACCCTGGGAAAAGGATGCTTGAGCTGAGTGCAGGGGTGAACTAGGCAAAGCAGACCGGAGACACAGAGAAGCCCGATACTTGTAGAGCGCTACAAAGTCCTTGAGATGGCCCCCATCCCAGGGGGACGGACAGCAGAAAAGTGGGTGAAATGAGACAGCAGTCGGTGTAAGACATGGGAGGGGGGGAGGGGGGAGAAGAATTGATAAATTATCAATAAATTATCAAGGGGACATGGCGGAGGCAGGGTGGGAGGGGGAGAGTAGAAAATGAGCCGGTAACGGGCTCAAGGAGAAAGAAAAAGTTTTGAAAAAGATGACAGCATGTACAGATGTGTTTGACAAAATGGATGTCATGTATGGATTGTGGTAAGAGCTGTAAGAGCCCCCAATAAAACAATTTTAAAGAAAGGTCCTTGAGATGTTTGGAGCTAAGGTTCCTTAGGGGAGGGGCGGGAGACATGCTTGATCCTTCTGGGCTGTATGTGCTGGCCCAGGGACCTGAACTGTATCCTGCCAACTATGGGGAGTCATCGAAGGACTGTTAAGTAGGAGAGTACGTGACCGGATTTCCAATTTGGCTGGGATGTGGTGGTGACATTTGAGAATGCAGGCAGAAAACGGAAAGATTAGTTAGGGGTGGACAACCAAGTTCACACAGGCGAAAATGGGCCAGCCTACACTAATAGTTGTGAGAAGAGGAATGGATGGTACAAAACTATGAAGGAGAATCTGCACAGGTTAGACACAGTCAAAGGCACCGATTGAAGAAATTGTACCCACTGCCTTACAGACCCTGAGTAGTGACCTAGTTTCATCTGAAGAGACTTCAGAAAGTTCGTGGGTAAAAGGAATGAAAGGATAATGGATTTTTTCCACAAAAATTTTAAGCCTCCTTGATGTTTACCAAACCAACACTAATTATGTTAGCAAATATACTAACATCAGGGAATTATACAAATATAGAAAATAGTAATTGTAAGCAACTTTGAGAAATGAAAAATCTTTATTTCATTACAAAAATTTTCATAAATGCATTTATATTTGACATGCATGCTATTATAACAAAGCCACTTAAAATATAATTACAGGTAAGATATACCTATGCATATTTAAAAAGTAATATTTTAATCCCCTCAATTTAAAAAAACTGAAAGTAGATTAAGCATTTCTTCAAAAAATACCCAGTCTTTCCCCCCACACAATCATTGCAATTACTTAATAAGGAAAATGAAAATAATCAATCAAATGAATGTTTAGCCTTTTCAGTTTGAGATCAGGTTTACAGCTTGTACACCAGGTATTCATCTATTGCTTCTGTTATAGCCACTAATGTGTTCTAACTAAAGAGTTTCTCCTTTGGGGCTTAGTCCTCACAGGAATGCTAATCCCATTCTTCCTGCAGCTAATTGAACATTCACAGAAAGGACTGTGCAGCATACTTGAGAGGAAATTCAGACTAGCAGGATCCATTTTTAAAATGTAAAAGCTTCTTTAAAAAAAAGACAAGCAAGGAAATACAGCCAACTTAGCCCAACATTTCATTTACCAATTTTATGTATGATAATTCTTTTTTCCTGAGATAGAAGCAAGTTTGCAAGTGGCCTGCTTTCATGCAAAAAACATTTCCCATTCTTTACATTCATGTCATAGAATTTTGAATTCTAAACAACTATATCATATTTGTGCTTTATACAGTTGGAAAATAATCATTAATTTTCTTTGCTGCAAAAAAAATAAAAGGATATTGGTTCTTTGATGGGTAAGAATATCAAACAGATTTTAAGGTGCTACAAACATTATCTGATTGTAAAATGTGCAGTGAAAAGTTCTACATGATGTTTTACTGAAATTTTGAGTGCAAAGGTGATTTTCTCATGAGGGAGGCACGGTGTGTGTTTTCCTTGGACTTCTGAGTTGGTGAATTCCTAATACATGGAGCTAGGCCTACACACCCACCTGGACAGAGTCTGCCTTCCCATCTGGAGAGGAAATCACAATATAATATAAAGATATCATTTGCGACAAAAAGAAAAAATTGATGTAATTGCATTTTACAATATACACAACAGAGTTCGTTTACAAAACACAAGAAGTACTAACATATTTGAATGAGCAACACATAAAAAAAAAAAGCCAAACATTTACGTACATGTTTAATTTATGCTTAAGGAATTGACTGTTAGACCACCGGATTTAGATCCATGCCCAATCTGAATGTGAATGTCTTAGCACATTCTGTTTTCTATGTTGGTTAAAGAGAAACCCTTTTTTTTCTTTTCACAGAACCATATTGGGAAATGTTTTATTTTTCCTTTATTAAAAATTTAGGTGGAGCTACACAGATAGGAATGTACATGCAATATATTTCGGTTTCACTCTTTATTTATCTTAGCATATCTTCACTATTATTGGACCAAGTATGATGATTTTTTACACAGATCAGGAAGGTTAGTAGAAACACAATCTTTTAAGTGAGAAAAAGAAGAAGTCTAAAGTTTTTCATAATCGACAGTATTCAACTACCAAAAAGTGTAGTAGAACCAGAAGTTTTAAATCACTTGGTTATATTATATTGTCTAAAATTCTTTTTGAAACCCAAGCTAACTGAATTTTACTCGAGTAGGACAGTGGGCAACCACTTCTTCTTTGTAATATGATGTTACTGGCTTTTAAAATAGTATTAATATCCAATTCAAGCAACAATTTTCACCTATAATTAGTTAAATATATGACAAAATTAATACTATCTAGCGGAGGTCTTGGTCACATTTAGATTATTTATTCAGAAATGTCTCAAAATTAATGTGCCTGTAACTCATTAAGTGCAAGCAGTGGGTCTTCAGAGAGAATATGCTGAAGGAATATATAAAAGACTGGATAGATACATCAAATGAAGCTGTGGTCCACTTCTAACAAGACTGAAATATAAGTAGAGGATTCTTCCAAAGGGCCGGTGTAACCATGTGGTTTTCAACTGACAGCATTTATTTACAGTTTGAAATTCTGCTGAAAGAAGCTTCTGGCCCACTCCTTCCTCTGCTTTCAGAGACCTGTCTCTCAGAAGAAAAACACTTTCTTAGGAATTGTGCCTTCTTCAGATGTACAGTCTATAGCTTGAAGCTCAATTGTTGTCTATGGTACCTGGGCTTTATTGAAACTGTTGGCACCCAGGGGCAGGGCATGTCTAAACACATAATGCAAGAGAGGAGATTTTCTTTTTTTCTATTTTTTCTCTTTTTTTTAATGAGAGGAGGTTTTTGTGGTTAATATAGAAGCACTTAAAAATGTTAGGAATGGAATTATGCCCTAAGGCTATATCATATGATAGACTTATAAAGTTTTCTAGGAGCATTTTGAAGAAGTTCTTATGTCCTCCAAAATGATTTTATTTCTTGAAAAAATTATTTTATTTGGAGATAATACCCTGTCTGCCTTCCTAACCCCCATTCTGCCTTGACAGCCTTACTAAAAAGTGAGGTTATTCAGAATAACTGAATAGTCCCACTGGACTTCACAGGCCTGGACGGACATGCTGAGGCCTGAAGCCCGGAAGACCAGCAGGGAACACAGGGGCATGAACTGCTGCTCACCCCGAGAAATGACTGGTGTCTTCTCCGAGGGCACATTCATCACGGAGCCAGCAAACATCGTTTAGAAGTCATTATGGTAAGAAGTCCACTAATATACACATAGTACCTTTGAAGTAGCTTCCACACACTATGATTCCCAGGTAGTTTCTGAATATTTAATGGCTGAAATTTGAAGGAAAAGAGTATGGAAATATCTTTGTAAATGGTTATATAAATATAACATTTGATTTAAGAATATCTGAATTTGCATTTCTTCATGAGTAAAAGTAAAAAGTGGAAAGAAAACGATTTCACATTATAAGGATCGTCGTGCTTAAAGAATCTAAAGTTCTGTAGAATGTGAGCTACCGTACATTGTTGTCACATGATTCTGTATTCCTTTTAAGTCTGACTTAACTGAGATTCAGTTATTGAATGAGGTAGTCCACATTGCCTGGATATTTGCTGTATCTGATTTCTATTCCACAAATAATTAAGTACAATATATCAGTTATGTTTTTTCCTTCATGTTTAATAGGAATTCTGTGAACATTGAGAATATATTACTTTTAGTGATACACAGTTCTTGAGAAAAATCTTGATTTTTACATTGCCATTTGTGATATTTTTATCAGCTTGCTACAATATTTTAATAAAAATAAAGTATACTTGATGATAATAGAGAAAATATTGTTAAAGACCTCTTGGGACAGGAAAAGGCTCATTCGTAAGGTCAGGTGCTTATTCATTTTCAGCTGCATCATTCTGATTCATTATTTTCAAAAATAACTATAATATTGCTACCCAGTCCGTTACACTGAGAACTTTCCTTGAACTTCATATGGAGCCTGAGTAAAGCTCTTCTATTTGCGTTCTGAAGTACTCTCTCAGTTGGGGTCTCTTAGCCTTTAGTGTTGGTGTCAACAAGCCGTTTTGAACTGAGAACATGTCAGAATGGATGTGAATGGCTTTAACCTAAAAACCAAATGCAGAATACATCTTTAACAGGAACATAACATAACATTGGTATCATACTCATGTAAACAGGCATATGGCAATAGATACATAAATAAAAATTGAGCTTCTGTTAATATTTGAACATTAAGGCCATTTGACAGGTCTGATAGCCATCTTTTCCCGTCCTCCCATTCAGTTCTCCAGTCAACAACAGTTGCAGGCACTGGGGGTATAGATTGCAATCTGCAGCAACCCTGCTTTCAAGCAGTATCCATTCTTACCCAATAGAGCAGACAGAGCCACATTGAACAATTATTAGACTATAGTGCATGCATAGGGTGAAGGGCATCTAACACAGTTACAGTAAGAAAGATCAGAAACAGGGAAGATTCCCTAAACTGGATGACTATTAAAGAATCTATAAAAGATAGCCAACAAACGGAGAGAGGTGGGTAGAAAAGGGCATTCTAGGCAGAAGGAACACCAGGAGCAAAGCTTTGGAGGTGAGAAATGGCTGCGCGAGAAAGGAAAGCCAAGCGGTTTCTTGTAACAAAACTAACTGGTAGATGGGCTTGCTCATAGAGGAGCTTACATTTTATTCTGAAGGCAATAGAGAAGCACTGAAAGTTTTTATTCAAGAGGATGACAGAGCTTGAATGTACATTTGTGAACGATTTCACCAATAGATGGTTGAGAAAGGCAAGATTGGAAGTAAGGACACCAATCAGAAGGGTATGTTCAGTCCAGGCGAAAGCAGGCAAGGGCCTGTCCTAGGTCAAGTGGCAGATTCAGACACAGTAAACAGTCCTAAGCACATTTCTAAGATGAGTTGGAAAGATGTAGCATAAGAAGGAGACTGCTTTGAGGACTCCCAGGTTACTGGCTGGGATCGCTGCATGGATGCTGCTGCTGTTTACAGGAGGAACATAAAGTCTACATCAGCAGTTCTCAACCTGTGGATCGTGATCCCTTTGGGGGTCAAACGATCCTTTCACAGGGGTCGCCCGATTCATAACTAGCAAAATTAAAGTTATGAAGTACCAATGAAAATAATTTTATGGTTGGGGGGTCACCACAAGAGGAACTGTATTGAAGGGTTGCGACATTAGGAAGGTTGGGTCTACATGAAATGATGAGTTCCAGTTAAATTTAAATATTCTTGTCATGTAATTTTATCTCATATATGGGGAGGTGAGTTATAAACAAATCAGACTTGGTATCCACATTGCCTATTTCCATGTGGCAGGTCCAAGCCTCCTGATGTGAAGGCTCTTTCCATGGCTGAATGGGACAAGAGAGGACTTATCTAGAAAGAGCCGGATAGTCTCCCTCACATGGGAATCCAGCTGAATGGGCCACAGTCAATTCTAAAAGAATGTGAAAATCTGAGCTTAAGCTGAATCTTGACGTGACACCATCTCCAAGATACCGTATCTTGATTGATAACTGGGACTAAAATCCAACAGTTGTGTTGAAAGACTACATGCACCACCACCACTAAATAGCCAACGGGGTTCTGAACTTCTCTGACACTGTGTGTTAATCCAAAATATGTCTTATAAGTACATATACAATCATTTGTTATTTTGTGTAATGGATAGTGAGCAACTTCTATGTCTTAGGTATTGTGTTAGGCACTAGGGATATAAAGAAGAACAAGATATAATCCCTGCCAGCATGGAGTTTACGATCTATTGGGAGATGCTGTAGTATGATATTGCACAGCACAGAGGGGGCCACCTGTGACAGGCAGTTGCTTGCTTTCTCTGTACCCACTGCCTGTTTCTTTCTTGCTGACTTGGTTCGGGGCTAGATCAGTCTATGTTAACTGTGACCATCGTGTTTCCTGCTTTCCCAGACTCCTTTGCAGCTAGGGTGGCCATGAAATCCACTTCTGGCAAGTGACGAATGCTTGCCTGATAAAAGGTTGAAGCATGTGTATTTCCATTCATATCCACCTCTGTTTTCCCTGAACGCGGATAAAATCCAAAACTACAGCAGCTACCTTGTGACCATAAGAACAGAGTAGAAAAACAGGCAGAACCTGGGCTTCTGAGGACCTGAATGTGCCTTGTATTGCTTTGGAGTTCTTCTGTGAGGGAAAAAAAATCCTATGTATTTAATTATGAGCAAGGTTTTCTGTGAGGAAGGCACATCTGATACATTACCTAACCCAGGCTTGAGCTATTAGGTCAGGGTTCATTGGGAAGAAGGCCAGGAGTTGAACTTTGAAGAACAAGTAGGATTTATCCAGGTAAAAAAAGCAAGGGGAGGAAGCTGGTGTGTGGCTTGAGGAAAGGTGGATGTGTTGGCAGAGGCAATATCTGCCAAAGGACCTTTCGGGCAATTCAAGTGTGGGTTGAAGTGTATGGTCCAAGGAAAGAAGAAGAAAGAGACGTGGTAGCAGAGATAAACTGGGGCAAAAAGACCACAGACCTATACAAATGTCAAGCTAAGGAGTTTGGATATGATTGTTTTAAGCAATCTAAGCAGTAAGAGACCAATTAGAATGGCTCTTAGCAAAGATTGCTCTGTGAAGAATGGATGGAGTGGGGCAAATGTGGCAGTTGGAAGACAAGTTAGGTGCTGTTTCAGTCAAGAGACAAGAGATGATGGTTTAATTGTGGAATTGGCTGGGGAGCGGGACTTAGCGATTAGGATATCATGGGCTACCTAGGTTTCTGCCTGGAGCACAGGCTAAGATGTCAACAACCACAGGAGGAGGCAGAAACATACTGAGGGTGGGAGTGGGAAGATAGAATATTCCTGCTGTTGCAAACACTTCTGAGAGACCCAAGTGGTCTTTGGACATCGACTGTATTAGTCTGGAGGTCAAAACTGCAGCCTGGATGAGAGTCAGAGAAGTAGATTTCCAGTTGAGTCCTCTGGTGAGGAGAAGAAGGGAAAAGATCACTGTCTGAGATACAGCTATCAAAGGGAAACTGCTATTAAAATCAATGTATGCACCAATGGTTTTGAATACATTTTGCATGTCAATAATGGAAAAACTTCCATGATTGTTTTCAAAACCTCTGATGCTAACAATTTCATGTTCTGGCAGGTGAGTATTTTGATGCGACAAATAATTCTTTGCTCAGAAAGCAGGTTCCTTCTCTGGTTTCCAGACCAAACACTTGATATAAAAAAAAGACCTCTAAGCCAACTTTTCAGTCTCAATCTTGACTGAAGAACTGAAAATCCTGGGGAAAAGGGTAAGTGTTGGACTGCTAACTATGAAGGTTGACAGTTCAAACCCATGCTACCACTCTGCAGGGGAAAGTTGAGGCTGTATCTGCTCCAGTAAAGATTCTCAGCCTCAGAAACTCTATAGAGGATAGGGTCTCCATGTGTCAGGATCCACATGTTGGCAGTGAGCATGTTCTCCTACTTAAACAAGCCTGAAAATCACCCTTCGACAACAAAGTTAGTTAGCTTCAAAAGTGTTGAATTAACTTGTTAAAGAAAGTCTCATAAAGATTTGGGTCAGTGTAAACCGTCTATTCAACCTTCTCTTGTGCATAAAAGAAGTAGTATCATTTTAAAAGGCGACATACATAAATGCCAAAGTGTAATTTCTCCAGGATCCTCGTAGACTGTTTCAGCTGGTCTAAAATCCCAACAGCTTGTGCAGAACCCTGTGTAATGGGACCTGACTCTCAAGTAGGATGAACACCTTTGAAAATCTAGCAGTGTCAAGTGTAGTCTACAAACAATACTTCTCAGGGAAGAAGGATTCAATGGAGAGGGCTACCTAATGGTATGCTATTTATATAGTAAGTAGAGTGTAAAAGAAAACATTAAGATCCGATGAACAAAGAACTGCACCAACAGGATGATTTTCAATACCTATCAAACCAGCTACCTGGCCAGGATGTGCCAGCAGTCCAATATCACTATGCCCACAAAATAATCCCTGCCTGAGTAGAAGTGGTATCATTACAAACAGCCTTGCAGAAGGCCAAGCAACATGCCAACCGCACCCGGCTCACCTTTTGGTCTTTCTATGAACCAGAGCAACAATGCTGCTAGCCTACCAGTCTCTGTTCTAGTCTAACCCACAGTTCTGGTTCTATTTAAGTTCTTTAAGTAGAAAAAAATAAATCAAACAACTTCTTTGACTAACATTAACCATAACTACGGCCCCCAAACCTGTAGCTTGTGTGTGTTTCAGAAGTGCATCAATAAACCTATTTTCCTTTTCTATATTGATCCTAGGACTCTGGTGGTGTAGTAGTTATGCATTGGCTGCAATCTGCAAGGTCAGCAGTTTGAAACTATCAGCCATTCCATGGAAGAAAGATAAGGCTTTCTACTCCCATGAAAAGGGGCAGTTCTACCCCATCCGATAGGATTGCCATAGATTGGAATTGACTAGACGGCAGTGAGTTTGGTTTGAGTTTATCATGATTTTCTATTTTCTCATATAATCAAATTGCCAAACTGTGAATTTAATTTTTAAAAGTATGAGCATATTCTTTATGCCAAACACAGTATGAAACTGATTTTCCGGTTTTTAATAGCAAAGTTTTTGATTGGGGCGGGGGGAGAAGGAGACACTCTTCCTTTCCTGAAACCACACTCTTGTCAATGAGGAGATTTTACAGGTTGTTTGCCTTTTTTTAAATTTAGAAATACTATAATGTTAACACTGGATCAGAATAAAAGATCTCAAAAGCTTCAATTTATATCACTTCATTAAAGCAGAGAACTTTTCGTAATTTTGAAGAAATATAGAATTTTAAGTTTTTCAATGGTATTACTAAGTAAAAGACTTTACATAATATATTTACCAGAATGTTTTATATTATCTGAATAATTTAAGACAGAGTGAAAAACAAAGCATTTAAATTCATTAGAGAAATGCTCGATTCATTTCTGATTCAAAGGCAAATTGGTTATCTAAGTATTCATTTCAATGACAGGAAATATAATAAAATGCTTTTAGTTAGATTTGAAAAAAATCTATCAACTGTCAAAATTAACTTTTTATTGCCTATGGTAAATAATAAGGCATATAAATGTCAAGAAAATAGTTAAATCATGATTAAGTATGTCCAAGTACTTCCCAGGCATCTACATATCTTAATTATTGATATAATAATTCTTCTGGTCTACTCCTTAAAAATATCTCCCAATGATCGTTTCCGTGAATAATTTTTAGCCTACTTCTAGGATTTATTTCTGAAAACGTAATTACTTTTTTTTCTCCCTAATTCAGACAATTCCAAGCCAATTAATCTGAACTTTCATAGCTTTTGTTGGATAGGTTAAGCCTTGGACATGGATATCAAGTGTGTGTGTTTTAAATTAGTTAAACCTTAACTAACCATTCCTTCTTAAGGAAGAAGGAAAAGAACAAGCTAACATGAATTATGAATTATCCTAAATAATTTATGTCAGCTTTGAAAATGATGATGGCAGCATATGTACAAATGTGCTCGACACAATGGATGTATGTACGGATTGTGGTAAGAGCTATAAGAGCCCCCAATAAAATGATTTAATAAAAAAAAAATTATGCCAGGCTGTAGACCTCGATAGGAAACACACCCTACACTCAGATGTGAGACCCAAGCTTTACCCTTCTGTGGTCAGCCAAAGGAGCCCTGGAAGCACAGTGGGTCAAGTGTTGGGCTGCTAACTGAAGGTCTGTGGTTCAAATCCATCAGTCCTTCTGCAGGGGGAAAAATGCAGCTGTCCACTCTCATGAAGATGTAGTCTTGGAAGCCCTAAGCAGCAGTTCTACTTTGCCCTATTGGGTCCTTCAGCAGAGGGGTTGGTTCTGAAGTGATCAGCTGTGGTCAGATACTGCTCGTGCTGGTAAGAATGCCGTGGATCAACAAGAGGATGAGAACAGACAGCATCAGGAGGCGATGGCTTGGAAACAAAGGTCAAGGCCTCGGGGAATCCACATGGCTTCCCCGCACTTGAAGTTACCATAGAAAAGGCAGGTTATTAGAGCAGAAACTCTGCTTAGGGCAGGTGTATCATCAACAATACATCCCTTTTCAGTAAAATCACAAATGAAAGCAACGGCTAACACTTGGCATGTAGGCAAAGTTCTCTTTTAAGCATAATCTTAGGACTTGGTATTTTTTCCCATGGACTGAGTGAGGAATGTTAGAATTCTCTGCATGCTCTGGGGCAGGCCATTCTCCCCACTGCCAGAAGGGGGTGTGCAGGGGTTGCTAATGCCCAAAATTGTCCCAGGGACAGCACAGCTTAAGCAAGCAATGGCCCCAGTCCCTTCAGAGCAACAAACCAATCATGCCTGGGACCGCTGGAGTGTGGCCCCTGCTCTTCATCATCACATGATCCAGTCATACAGCTCTTGATTAAGGGAAGGTAATGCAGTCAGTATTGGCTAATTTAGAAATCTAAATTATGTCATAAGTGCCCTCACTCCCCAAGATACATATACTTGCCTGAATACCTCAGACCCCCCCCCCAAAAAAAATAAATATTCATTTATACATGCCTCAATTCCCCCAAACCAAAATGACACATCCGGTTCAAGCTGTTTCTCAAATGGGATTAATGTAAAGATCCATTTCAAAAGAAGAGAACAAAACAGTTCTTTCAAACCCTGAAGTTAGGTTTAGAGTTCCACAGTTTGAACTGTAAGATATTAAAGTCTTAATCTGTGGATCTGCCTTTGGATTACAAATGATCACTGCAGGGATTTTATATTTAAAACTGGCTTTAAAAGGCAGATCCCTAACACTATGTTGGAGGGACCCCCTATTGGAGAAACAAAATTTTATGATAATTATTTTAATAATAAGGAAATTTCTAAAATCGAAATTTCTTTCTGAAATCTTGACTAGCATCTGTGTAGATGGCACATATAACTAGACCACGTGTGCTCCTGAGCCCAGTCATAATAAGATTTCCTAGACAAAAAGCCTGGGAGGACAGCTGGGGCCTCTCCCCACACATTCTCTGTCCCCTCCTCTTTGTGGAGGGCATGTTGGGTCGACAGATCATGGCCTGCCAGCCCAATCTTTCCGATGTCCTCACAGCAAGTAAGCCCAGCAGCTGCAGTAAGAAGACAGTTAATATCATTCAGATCCCCATAAAAATAAAAATAAGGCACGACTCTGGTCTTGAGCCCTGCAGTCAGCTTGGTAAACTTCACATGATCTCCCAGTGACAGCGGGGCTAATGTGTCAGCCAGACGAATCTGAAGTTATAAGGAGCAGCGCGATCTCCTTCTTCGTATGGCCTATTTCGTTTAGGGCGGCGAGCTGTCCCAGAGTTGGCTTGAGACAGTCCTTCAAAGGTCCTTTAGCACACAGCATACCAGCCGGCCACAGCAGGGAGGGTGGGAAATCTAGGTCAGAATCACCAGGGGGGAAATTCCATCACTGTGCCAAGGGCTGTATTAAGTACGCAGCAAGTTACACTTACCTGTTCAAAAGAATGGAGCCCACCTGCGTTTCCTAGCCTCACCAAATCGTCCAAAATGGCTTTCTTCGTGTCCTGAATTGAACCATTTAAGTATAATTACAAGGCAAGAATATGTTTTAAAAGTGGAGGTAAAGGAAGCAGCGAGTTTTGAGCAAAGAACAACTGGCAGTTGTGCCGACTACCCCCCTCTCCCCCACAACACTCCCTGGCAGCAGGTCAACTACCACCTGGCACTAGGCAAGTCTACACTGGGGAGGGTCAAATGAACAGGCTAGGGGTGAGCTCAGTTTTTTCTTTTGATGAGGGTCTAGCTCTACTCAGTGTGGTGAATCACAGGGCCCCCTGCCATCCTCAGGGGAGCCCAGGGTCACAGGGAGAGGTAGGGGCTATGGCTGTTGCTGAAATATGAACTGGGTGACTCATGAGGCTAATGCAGGATCAGAGCACAGCGATGCTCCTCCTGGTGGCAGCCCTGTCTGTGCCCACAGAGGCCCTGAAGCTGTGAGTCACTAATACTCTACACAGGAAGAGCAATGATTTTTTTCAGTTCCACGATGGTCTTTCTAAGGTTCCAAGTCACTGTCTTCAAGTCATTTCTGACTCATAGTGACCCTTTAGGACAGGAAAGAATTACCCCTGGGGGGTTTTGAGGCTGTAAGTCTTTATGGGAATAGAAAGCCTCATGTTTTTCCCAAGGAAACATGGTGGTTTTGAGCTGCTGACCTTGTGGTTAGAAGCCCACCATGTAACCCACTCCACCATCAGGACTCCTTTCTATGGCTAGTAGGATACAAATGGTAGCTGACATTTGGAAAGAGTATGACCAATGAATCAGGGAGGATAAACTCACCTCTAGCACTGTTGGTAATCATCTGTGTGACCTTGGTGAGCGCCCCCGCCCCCCCACTCCACCAGGGCTGGAAGCTGTGTGACATCATCTGACTCTAAAATTCAGTGGTTTCTCAAACTTCCTAAGAGGTAATGAGTTTCTTCAGCTAGAATGTCTACCATTTTAAAAGGTGTTAGAAGTCTCCCTATATATGGAGTGTCATTGATCTGCTGCTTCTGTGTCTCTCATGAGGCCGCGTCCTCATGTCATGAAAGGTGCAGGACCCGCTTTGGAGTTGGCCAGAGCGACTCACCTTATTTGCACAGAGCTCTTCATACGTCCCTTCAAATCCTTTCTTCTGGGCCCAGGCAGGCATGATTTCCGGGTCGGGAACGACAATGCCCACCAGGAAGGCCTGCAATTCCCACCAAATAACAACACACAGTTACGGTCCAAACTTTTTTTTTAAAGGGGCTATTTGTGGTCGTGGATTAAAAATAATCTCCTGGTATTTTCAAAGACTCCACCCTTTTCTAAAAAGAAAAAAAAAACCCACTTGAATTATGAGACATGTCCCTCAACATCACACATTCTTGACTGTTTGTTTTCTGATATACTCCTCTAGCTTTGTCAAAAAGAAAGAGTAAGGTCATGGAGATTAAGAATCAGTCAGGTTAGAGCGCTATGTATCTCGGGCCTTCATGTTGGTCTTTAATCAGCACATCTTTTGGATGCTAATCAAACAACTCTCACCCGAACTCCATGAACAGGAGAACGCAACATTCCGGGTACTGCCAGATACTTCTGACAATGTGACCTTACGGTCACCTCACTCATAAGGGTGTTCTTTATAAAAAGCAGTTTATAAAACATCACCTTAAGTGTATAAATCATATCAGAGTTGACTTGAAATCTAAGTAATGTTAAAAGCAGACTAAGTATAAATTCCCTCCAAATAATAACAGTAAACCGCATAAGGATCGGTACATTCTCATTACTCTATACCAGTGGTTCTCAACCTTCCTCATGCCGCCACTCTTTAATACAATTCCTGATGCTGTGGTGACCCCCCCAACCACAAATTATTTTCGTTGCTACTTCATAACTGTCATTTTGCTACTGTTATGAATCGGGTGACCCCTGTAAAAGGGTCATTCGACTCCCCAAAGGTCCAACTGACTCCCATAGGTTGAGAACCGCTGTTCTCCATGGAGTCCCACTGGCGTAGTGGGTTACATATTGAGTTGCTAACCAAAAGGTCAGCAGTTCAAACCCACCAGCCATTGCAAGGGAGACTTCTCAGAGGAGGTTCTCTGCGCCTATAAAAATGTACAGCCCCCGCTGTTCAGAGATGGAGCTCCACTCTGTCCTGTCAAGATAAACTTGATGGCAGGGCACTTGGTTTGTTTTATACATTTATCTGTAACCTGCCGTTGCAGACTCTGAAAGCTTAAGAACAGAAACCCGGACTCGAGGCTTAGGAGGAGACAGGACCGACAAAACATGTAGCGAGGCGCTTTCTTTAAAAGCTTACCTCAAAAATCCCTTCTGGAAGTAGGTGGAATGTAAGCGACAAGTTCATTATTACTCAGTCAAGCAACTTCTTTGACCCAATTGACATTTACCAAACTATAAAAAAGATTTCTCCTTTACAAAGGGCTTTTGCCCTCTTTATTTCATACGGATGGGAGAATGCTGGTGTCCAATTAGAAACTAGAGTTGACCACATTAATCCAAGCCGAATGCTCAAGGCCATGTCTGCTGGGTGTCATTTCAGCAGACCCAGAGTGCATTGTGGGAAAGGGCTGGGCCTCACCTTTAAGCTGTCCCCATGGACATAGATTTGCGCCACAGGCTCACTCCGGATGTAGATGTTCTCGATCTTCTCAGGTGCCACGTATTCTCCCTGAGCAAGCTTAAATATGTGCTTTTTCCGATCAATAATTTTAAGAGTTCCTGCCTGTGGAGAGGGACAAAGAGCTTCTTAGGAAAGATGTCTTGGGAGCTGGAGTCAAGAAGAAAGAAAATGTTTTGAGACTGAGTGTGGTAGCTGTACAATACTGCTGGATGTGATCGGCCTGTGGAATGGTATGATATCTCTGAGAGCTCCCAATAAAATGATTAAAAAGAAGAAAAAGGAAAAAAAAAATGCCTTGATGCCTCTTTAGGTTAAGCCCCTGACCCCTATCCTGTTCAAAAGAATGGAGCCCACCTGCGTTTCCTAGCCTCACCAAATCGTCCAAAATGGCTTTCTTCGTGTCCTGAATTGAACCATTTAAGTATAATTACAAGGCAAGAATATGTTTTAAAAGTGGAGGTAAAGGAAGCAGCGAGTTTTGAGCAAAGAACAACTGGCAGTTGTGCCGACTACCCCCCTCTCCCCCACAACACTCCCTGGCAGCAGGTCAACTACCACCTGGCACTAGGCAAGTCTACACTGGGGAGGGTCAAATGAACAGGCTAGGGGTGAGCTCAGTTTTTTCTTTTGATGAGGGTCTAGCTCTACTCAGTGTGGTGAATCACAGGGCCCCCTGCCATCCTCAGGGGAGCCCAGGGTCACAGGGAGAGGTAGGGGCTATGGCTGTTGCTGAAATATGAACTGGGTGACTCATGAGGCTAATGCAGGATCAGAGCACAGCGATGCTCCTCCTGGTGGCAGCCCTGTCTGTGCCCACAGAGGCCCTGAAGCTGTGAGTCACTAATACTCTACACAGGAAGAGCAATGATTTTTTTCAGTTCCACGATGGTCTTTCTAAGGTTCCAAGTCACTGTCTTCAAGTCATTTCTGACTCATAGTGACCCTTTAGGACAGGAAAGAATTACCCCTGGGGGGTTTTGAGGCTGTAAGTCTTTATGGGAATAGAAAGCCTCATGTTTTTCCCAAGGAAACATGGTGGTTTTGAGCTGCTGACCTTGTGGTTAGAAGCCCACCATGTAACCCACTCCACCATCAGGACTCCTTTCTATGGCTAGTAGGATACAAATGGTAGCTGACATTTGGAAAGAGTATGACCAATGAATCAGGGAGGATAA